CTGGTATCCTCAGTGGATGACCCTTTCTCTTACTTAAAATGCTTCCAAAAGGATTTTCAGCATAACATACCACCTCATAAAAATGAATGTTGCAAACTAATGAAGTTTGATTCTATTTGAAGGTCTGATTTTAAAAGATATGTCCTTCAAGCTTGTGAGTCTCGCTGAAACGTAACCATTTATCTGTCTGATGTACTGAATATTCCTGGCTTTTTACTAGATACTTAAGCAAGTACATCCTTGCATTCAAGTAAGTGCAATGAAGCTTTAGACAAGGATGAAATTGTTACACGGTCATTTTAAAATGAAAAGTCATACAGAACACCAAGTATGTTTTACAGCGTGAGTTAAATTGCACATGGTCCACTTCTTCTTACAGCACAAGTGTGAAAGGGACAGCATAAGAATCACAGTTGCTCACAGTAGCCCTGATACTTCCATAGACTTTTCTGAAGTCTTAAAATATTTTTTGGCAAATGCAACTGGATTGAAGAATAGAAATGAAATTCTTGGTCTGAATGGCTGGGGCTCCCAGGTTAGAGTAGCTGTACTTTATAAATTATAGAATTTTACTAGAATCATGATGTATTTTATGACAGAGAGGCACAGAAAATTTCCAGCCAATTATCTTCTCCAGAAACTTTACAGCATACATTGACTCTCCTGCTCTGTAGTATAGCTCACTGCTCTGTAAGCCTTCAGTCTCTTCAGATCCCACAGCCTGTGTCAGTCAGCTCCTAACAGACACCAACACCTTCTGCAAGAGGGACTCAGGAGTCCTTCTGCATTGTGAACTCTATCACTGACATGCGTTGCTTTTCAGGATTCAAACAAGTACTGAATTTAGGACACCTCTAAAGCAAATGAGCATATAACAATGTTCTTAAAACAGTTACATTTGTAAGGACACTTATTCTCTCACTGCTACATTACTGGGATGCACTCATCACAGTATGAGGTACTAACGGTCTGATCTCTTGACATGGATTTTTATGAATACTCACCTGAGGAGCTGGAACTAGCACCAGGAGAAAAAGTCTTGTTGTTGCGAAGGACAGATTGATTGCGTGCACAACCTGGACTCCTGGTGCTGATGGCAATGACCTTCCCTGGAGGAGTTAGTGACTGCTCCTCCTGAGCAGGCTTTATAGGAGATGTGGCAACTGAGCTCATCTCGGGTGTCTAAAAACACACACAGTAAATGAACATTATGACTGTTCCAGCAAATAGATGGTTTAACTCACTCTGCTTAGGAAGCTTTAAAAAAAAAAATAAATCTGTCATACTACAGTATCTTTAAGTACTCCAACCAGTACCTCTATGTGTGTGTGGTGGGCCGCCGAGATTCCCTTCCCACGCATGAAGCAGTGTTAAATGTCATCAGGTCACTATCATTAATTTGTTACAATCAAGTTAACACTCCACAAGCTTTACACAGTGTGCTGGACCACCCCAGCATAAAAATTAAACAACTTTTAAAAAATATAAAAACAGATTTGTCACAGTAATGGATACAGTATTCTTTTTAATTCAGTACAAAAGTGATTTTCATAAATTCTAACCATCCTGAGAGGCTCTCTGGTTGAAAGTATATCTAGACAAAAATATTTTGCTTAATTCTAATCAAGTAGAGACCAAGAGTTTTGAATTTTTTCCTATCCCTTTTCCTATTTCATAGAGGAACACAGCAGAAACAAGAAGTACATGGCAAGGTGTTTTACTAATTTTCCAGGCATATCCAGTTATTTCATTAAGTTGTTTCAATTCTTTTCTAGAAAACGCTCTTTTTCTAAGGAAAACCACAGGCATTAAAATCACCACCCACACTTGCCTGCAATGCAATTTGCTACAGTTTGTTTTATGCTGGTATCTTCATTTAGAGGAAGGAACGACAGCACAGTTGGTCATTCTGGCTTTGCTACATATTATCTACAGAAAACAGTAGACTCTAGACAATCAAGTCCTTCCTCCGTTAAAGTACCCTTTAGCAAAAATGTTATGGTTCTTGTGGTTACTTGATGAAAGGCAGAGGATTTAAGAGATAAAATTTCAAAAAGTCTACAGGCAGTGAAAACCATCCCTGCCTCTTGAACTTGTATCAGTCCCAACAACACTGATTGCCACAAGAAGGTCATCTATCTCTGAAACACAGCGAGTATGAGGTGGTATTTAGCAAATGAAACAAGAAGTCCTGTTACTTCTTTTTATTGGAATGTATGATTTGCTCCATATCTGAAAGAGCTCCACTATTTTTCAGGATGATGGTACTTCAATTAGGACAGTAAGAGTGCTGAAGTGACAGCAAAACACTTGCAAATAGAACTGCTGGGATTTTTCTCCCCTCTTCCTCCAAGTCTAAGGAGATGACTTTCTAGTTTGTGATTGTTCAATCATGTCATCCCTGGCTGCCACGTGTATCACCAGAAGCAGATGTCAAAAGAAGAGACATTGTCACAGATCTTCGAGATGTCAGACCAGAAGCCTTTGCAGTTTAAAGTGCAAGGTCTTTATCTGAAGCTGTACCTTAGAGAAGATGGATTTAAATGTATGTAATCCTACATTCTAGGTCTATAAAATCAGGACCAAAAGAAGCTCTGGGAAGGGCAGAGGGGAGGGTTAAATCTGCACCAACTAGGCAAGATGAAAGAAGTAGGTGTGTTTGGGAATAGTGGTACATTTGCCTTCCATGCTGGAATACAAAGCAAATGTTACCTTTACCTCATTGTACCTCCATCACAGGAATTCAATCAGATCTGTTAAATTTAGTGTCTTTTTGGTGTTTAAAAGGATGTTTTACTACATTTCAACTGGTTGCACTAGATGGAAATAGCTGCTCAGGTATCTCAGGGCAGATCTCAAATACTGGTTACAGTGCACAAGAAAAGCAAATGGAGCATATTGAGAAGGCCACCTTGTAGCAAACAGGGTTGTGTTGTTTGGTTTGTTTTTTTTAAACACAAGAATCTCTCCAAATCTTGACAAGGCTGGTCACTGATTTACTATGAAAACACAACTGGGCAATTCTTCCCCAGACCAAATGAGAGTTTAGCATTGAGAGCATGAACAAGAGTTACTTACTGGTTTGGGATTGACTTCAGTAGAGATGAGTTTTAGAAGGCAGTTTAGGAGTCTCTGCTTGTGAAAAGTGGTGCATGCAGGAACAGCACTTGACTCTGATGTTTGTTCCCTAGCATCCTGGGTTTCTGGCTCCAAGACAGCCAACCAGTCATATTCCAGCTGCAACTTGTTCGGTTTGCCCATCATGAGGTAGACTTCCGCCAGCGTGAGGCTCTCCGAAGTTCGTAGACTCCATCCTTCTTCTCTAACTTGTTGAGAGAGCCGGCTTGGGTCATCCTTGAGAGACTTTGTACTAGATTGTCCCTGAGGTGGAGGTGGAAATGAGGAGCCCAGCTTCTCTTGAGAATCCTCCATTGCTGCATCCATTATATCCTTGGTACAAGCATCAAGCTGCTGACCCTGGCTGTGGCTAGCCTGAGTTTCACATCTGGATGGGCCACTGCCAGGGGAAGCCACACCACCTCTCAGTAGCTGTGAGTACAAGTCAGATGTCTCTGTGCTCCTCACACTTGGAAAAGCCACAGGAGAAGTGTCACCAGCTCCTGGAGTAGAGTCTTTCCCATGCACTTTATCTGTGCAAGAACATTTCTCTGGGACAATCAAGTCCTGACAGGACTTCATGTACCGTGGGAATGGATCTAGCAGAGAGAGTTCCTCCACATCAGGGATCTTACTGCAAGCACAACCTGTGCTGCACGATGGTAGCACAGTTGCTTGGTCACTAGCCACGGCCTCCTTGCTCTCCATACAGAAGGCCACTGAGCTCAGCTTTTCATGGTTCCCCCCTGGATCTTGAAGTCCAGAAGGTGGTTTTTGGAGAGAATTAGTGATGCTAAGATTTGAGGCTGTTCCTTCCACCAAGCCAGGCTCCAGGGTACCATCTTCAATGCTTGCAGAAACTTCAGCTGTGGGCTGAGAGGTTCTGCTTGACTCTGTAGTGCTCTCTACCCTTCCAACACCCTTACCTTCTGCTCCCCGTGTGTATTTTAGCTGTCCTCTCGCTGTCCCCTGACCACTCTGGATGCCTAGGATTTGTGCAGGGGGTAGTAAGTGAGAGTCTTTCGTGTTCTGTTTGCATTTGCCAGTTTCCTGCCAATGCACTGTGCAGAAAGCCTTGGAGTGGACCACTCTGGCCACCCCAGGCAGTGGAGTGAGTGTACAGTTCTCTCCTGGAAAGAGATGGAGCATAACTTTCTCCTCTGAGAAGGTGCCTCTTGTTTCTGAGTCTCTGGAGTCTTGAAGCTGCTGTTCTTCTAGTGTTTTACGCTAAAAAAAGATGTGTCAAAGAATACAACAATCACCTGTCCCTTCCAAACAAGAATCTGCTAAGCCTATTTTGCAAATTAAAAAAAACAAAAAAGTAGCTGATGAAGAACATGTTCTCTATTCAGCACAGGTAAGAATCTATGATCAGAAATCATGTCTTTGTTGTGGTTATAAGGACTATATTGAAGACCTGCTACAAGCACAAACTAAATCTCTGTTCCAGATAAAATTACTTCTCTCTGCTTCACACCTTTGTAATTGTAAAAAAACCCCAACCAATTAACCCTAACAAAACCAAGCAAAAACCCCTAATGTCACTGCACGGCAAACCAGACTCCCCTTTCTGTGCAGTAACCTTCATCTTACACATTTTGACACCCTGTTAAGTTTCAAGTGCTGTGTTGCTACTTCTTCCAAGCTCACACATTAAGAAGAAAGGCCAGAACTGAAGGACTACAAGCAGGATGTGGCAGAGCAGCCAACGGCAGAACAGGCTGGCTGTTCACTCAAAAACCCTTCTACTCCATGAATCAAAGCTCAGAGGCAGGGATGTCTCTAATGCTGCCTGGCTTAGACAGGTACAGACACAGGACAGGTAGCAGCAGCTAGTTAGAAGCTTAAGCTTTCATTTGGTGAAACTGTGCAAAGCAAGTGGAAACATCTGTCCTTAACCTCTGCTGAGAATGGGCACAAAACAGTCAGTTACTATCCAGACTTCTATGGTGGTCAGCCATCTATAATGGGAAAGACTATGCCCATCGTTGAAGGAAATGAAATAGAGGCAGGGAGCTTCATTAAGTACTGACTTGCATTCAGGGAATCATTGTAGAGAACAGATAAGCTAAAAATGGATTATTATAGAATTTTTCATTAAAGGCTCCATTAGTGATGCTCAGAGACTGGCCTCTAACTTCCCTAAGCACAGAATGATAAACTTATGAGGTAGAATCACATTTCTGATGCAAAAATAAGTTTAAGTAGGAGGGGAATTTCTCCCAGGACACAGAATCCAGTACAGACTAAGCAGAACAAGGATACAATACGCACTTCATGGAGGGCCCACTTCTGCTTCAGAAACTCAATGAGGCTGGACACCTTCCGATGTAACTCCACAATCATTCTGTGCATGAAAAATAAAGCAAGGCAGCAGAAAAAAATGTCAGCAGAAGTTCAAACCACAGTCTTGATTCTAGAATGGGAACATAGGGAGGAAACGCATTCTGCAATACAAGCACAGAGAACACAACTACCACTCCCAACCTCTAAGGAAAAGAAACACAAAATCAAACCCATGTGTTACCCCGCAACTGTACAATCTAGATAGACCCCAACTGAGAAAGATCTAGAAGTCTCTCAGATGAACCTGGCTGCCATGATTCAAGATAATAGTTTCTCTACATGAAAGAAGCCAGGAAAAGATGGTAAGATACAGCCAAACTGCAGAAGTGCAGGCAAGGCACAAAGCTACCCACCTGGCAAAGAGAACCCTGAAGGGAAAAAAAGATGCTAAAATGCTGCTCATACATTTCTCTGTTCTATTCTGAGCACCACAATCAGTTCTTCTCACCTAAGCCGTGGATTCTGGGCAAGACTCTGTACTCGAGCCCATGCGTGATTATTTCGTGGCTGCAACTCTACAGGGACCTTGAGAGGAAGACGTACTGGCTTCTGATCCTCTTCATCACTCACGCCTGAAGGGGGATGAAGCACAAAGGGTCAAAGCAAGGACAACTCAGCCAGAATACTACATGCTTAGTTACATGAAAAAAGCAACACAGACATCAGCATCACCTACAGGCAACCTAGGCAGCTCAGCTTCACCAGTGGAGCCTGCTTCCTTAGATTAATTCCTATTCCAATGTTTATTTTTTTTCCTTCAACACTGCAGTGGAACTGGAGCTTCCAGCTGAGCAAGCAGTGTCAAAATCAGATGACTGGAAAAAGTACAGTATTTCAGACCTTTAAACTGCACTGATTCTACATATTGCAGGGAGTGGGGGAGAGAAGGAAAAAAAGTAATTAAAAAGATCACACAAAGCTTAACTGGAGAGGGTTTAAAAGAAGTCTAAACTGCTCAGCGCTAAAACAATATACTACTGCTTATTCACTTGCCCAAGGGACTAAACTGCATATAGTGACAGCACAACTGGTAAAGCAGTAGTGATCTCGTCTGGTGTACCTAATTTCCTTTTCAACTTAGCTAGTGACAGTCCAAGACTTAAGAGAGCTGGGCTGGTCCTAAAGTTATTTAGATTATACAAGCAAACACGGTAAGTAACACAGTAGGGACATACCTGTGCCCAACACAAATGTGCAATAGCACAAATTCCCCTGGCCAGTGATCTGCACACAGAACAGCCCTACTCTCTTGCTCAGATTCTTCCAACCATCTGCTAAAACCCTTCCATGTTCCAACATCTCTTTCTTACCATCTGGATCACAGAGTTTCTTCAGAGCCCTGCACATTGGAGCTTTGATACGGAGGTTTCTGCCTTTGTAACGAACAGTCGTTGCCCTGAATACATTGAGAGAGAAGTGTTTACTGGCACCATTAGCACAAGTCTGTGAATACATACACAGCAGGGACACAGACTCAAATACAATCTTGGACTAGAGGAATGCACAGAGAAATGTAGGCATTTGCAGTGCAGATTCACAAGTGCACTCAATTTCTGTCACCTTACCTTTCATTATAGAAATGTTCCTCTTGCAACCTTCATCTTCTAGACTTACATGAATCACTAGGATGTTCACTTACAGAGGGACTGTTACTTTATAAAGCAGATCAGATGTATGTTACTTTTTGTTGGAGAGTACCCTCAAGAAGCAGCTTCTTCATAAAAGACGAGTGGTTTTGCTTTAGTCTCCTCTTTATACTCCTAATTTGTCATTACAGGAAGAAAAAGCCTAAAGTTTTTGAAGAATCTTCCATTTTGGAATATCAACACCACATCTGTTGCAAAAATGAGGTCTAACAGCTTGTGCAGGAATATGAACAAAGTAACTTCTACAGCATGATTTCACTGGCCTTTAGCTTCAATACCACATTAACAACTATAAAGATCCCTAAAAGCAAGAGGCCATTTTTGTGTTCACACAGTGGAACTATTTGATTTCTTCACTAAGTCAACCTTGTTTTCTTCACAGACTTGAAAAGCAGGAATTGAGACCAACACAGTTCCTGATGGCAGTGGTTACTACCTAATACTTCAAGCAATAAAGATCAGCTACCATCCAAACAACAGGAACGGACAAGTAAAATGAAATAAAATATGTTGTATATTCCTACAGCAGGATCTCAATTTTTCCTATGCAGTAAGGAAGACAACATCAGACAGAAAGAGCAGCTGTTCACACTGCTAAGAGGGAAAACTGCAAAGGGGAAGCAGAACTGACCAAACCTGAGAAGATAAAGTGAAGGGGGTAAGCAGCTCAAAAGTTTCAGTTGCTCAGCTTTGAGCAACAGATTCAGAGTAAACTAGGGCTGGAAGGGCAGATTTCCTCAGTCTGCACTGAGATACCACAAGCCAGAGGGATTTTGCTCCTCCTCACTCTTTCTAACGAGCTCTGAAACAGTAGTGATGGTTCAACTACCAAGAAGAGCCAAAGGCTCTCAAGTGTTGAGGAGAAACTACCAAAAGTGCTACTAAAGAAAAAAAAATAGACCACTTGGGTACTTGCCCAGTTTTAAATAGAGCTTTGTATTTCCACATCTGCAACAGCAGACAACACTACAGCTGCTGTACCCAAAGCATTGTTCTTACCTTTCTTATTTCAACTTCACCCTAGCTTGCACTGTTGAAAACTTGAACTGTCTGAAGACAGCTGGTCCCACTAAGTACAACAGTCAACATCTCTCACTGGAAAGACTCTCTCTCACACTTGTGGATATCTAGTCAATGCCATAAGGTAACAATGAAAGGTAAAACCTCCTCCTGGTCATTGCAATGGACACCTTTTCCTTAAGGCATGAGGCTCAATATCCTCCTGTCATTATATTAAAGTGTTGATATGATTTTATCAGAAAATCAGCATTTTTTGGACAATAAATCTCCTGAAAATAAGTTTTACAGGTAGCACCCTCTTTTAAGTTTTTTTAATGTGTAAATAAACCATGTTTCAATACAAGTGAGAGTAAGTTCAGTATGAATTAACCCAAGCTCATCTAACAATGACTGCAAGATACAGAGACAGGAAACTCAACTACAAATTCTGCTGCTCTCAAATTCAGCTGGTCAACTGTTTGGACAGCTTCTCTCTTGGGTCTGACTCTTCAGGTGGAGAATCTCCACTTTGTTTCACAAGTTCAAGCATTGCTATCAGCCAGCAGCAGAAGTGGCAGCCTAGTGTATAAGTGCCTGCTACCAAACTAGAAGGATTTGGCAGAACCTGGAGAATTTGCAGTAAATAAAAAAAACTCTAGACACATACTACATTTATTTGTCCAGTGCTTGTTCTTACTTCCTCCAAGAACAGTAACTTAAAAAAACAGCTGAGGACTGCAAGTCTTGAACTTCTACTGTAGCTTCAAGAAATCACTCCTCCTGTCACATCACTTTAAAGTAACAGATTCTCAGGATTCACCACAAATACCTTGTGCCCTGAACTACAGGAATTTAATGAAAGCCTCACTTACTCTATTACCACTAATGCTGTTCATCTCAATAAGTAATATTATAAAGCTGATGTTGAGATGTGCACGCATGCACCCAACCCCTAGAGAATACAAAGTCTGGGAATGTCATGGAAGAGCTGTAGAGAAATAATGCTGCTGCATGAACATGCCAAAATTACTGTCTTTCTTGTTAATTACAGCAATCAGACCCACTGTAATTATTTCCTTGCTTAATGAAGGCATACCTAGATGTTCCCTCCAGTTCTAGTGGAAAACACAGTTTCGTAATAGCATCCAAAAAAATCCATTAAAGCCAGTGAAAACAAACCCAGTAGTACAAATGCACTTTGAGACAATGCAGCATGTGGAATTGCAAATTTACACTACTTTAGGACAGCAAATTCTCTGACTACATGTGCAAGCTAAGACTCTCCTCATTTGGCTTCAGCTAATACAACACCTTTTTATGAAATGTGCCCTTGAAGTAGCTGCGTACAAGTGAAGTGTCAGAAATAGCATGATTATTATTATTGTTATACCTTAGGCAGTGTAAGGGTATAAGTGAGGAGGGGTTGTGGGGAGAAACTATTTCCTCTTTGATTAATTGCTCTGACTACATAAAATACACAAGCTTTGTGGAAATTATTCTATCACTTGGTATGAAGGTGACTGAAAAAATGGCTTGAATGCTCAAAAGGCTGTTTGATCCACCTAAAAAACCTGAGCTAATGTGATCAAGAAAAAGAAGGAAGAAGAAAAGCACTGCTATTCATTTTTCGTATTTTATCTTTCTCTTGAATACCCTAATTAGTTGGCCATAAAGAATTTACTATGGAGTCAGGCTTTCTGGCACTTGCTCCTGATCAATTTCTCCACCACCTGCTCAACTGCACCTGGGGTTTCAGACACCAACTATCTGTTCCCGCCACAAAGCAGCATCATAAGCTTCTGGTTTCATTTGTATCTGGGCTTAAAAACAAGAGAGGGGGGGAAAAAATCCCACCCCACCAAAACCTAAGATAAAAGCCCAGAAAGAATTGTGAGGAAATCTAGTACATCATGGAAAAAGATATTTAAAAAAACCACACCACAAACGTAGGAGGAAAGTCATACTGGAGGAAAGAAAACAAATACAAAACTGATGACAGCCCTAAAAGAGAAGCAGGAACTTCTGCATCCTCCAAGCACTGAGAATGGCAAAGTACACCCTTCAGTAAAGGAAGTAACAGAACACACAAAAAATTGAGAAGATGATGTTAAAACTTTCACATGAAAGTTTTCACCCTGGCATGTCAGCACTCTTCCGTGCCTGGAACAATAAATACTTTTCATTGTTCCCTAAAATACATTTTAGAAGTAGCATCTCAGCTCTCTAGACTCAGGTGTTCTCTTTGGAGAGTTAGGAGTAATTCCACTAATTCCCTTTTCCATAAAGTATGATGAGTTACAAGCAATCTAGAGAGTCTGGTAAGAAGATCTTCTTCAAACTAAAACGAAATGATACACATTTAGGGACTGTAGTTTCCTAACTGAAATGCATGGCTGAGAGGCTGGAAAAAGAACAGTTCTACTAATTTAAAAGAAATGCACAGTAAAAAGGAGACAGGCTGCAACAGAACTACTCCTAGATTAAAAATACTTCCTTCTTTGTCTTCTCTTCCCAAGATTGTGGATGTTTCCATGTGTAGAAAATAGTAAAACTTAATTTTTAAGTTATTCTTCTGATTACTGGTATAACTTGACAAGAGCACATTCTGCCTACTTAACAAAATGTATTTTGTTTATGAGCTTTTTCAGGATGAATTGCTACTTTATTATCAAGATTTTTAGGGAATTACAAATTCTCCCTCAGCATGTAAAGAACAGCTTTTACAAGGAAATCAAAGGCAAAGAATAATCACTGCATCTTCACACAGAGCACACCCAGGAACTTAACCAGACAGATCAATCAATAGCTGTTCAAAGTTTCTGTCTTACTTATGATATTAAGAGCTTCTCAAGTAGGGGTGAAAAACACACTTGCTAAACAGACATAGAACACTGTCCTTTAACCATTGCATATTTAGAGTATTTCTTTAATCATATTATTTTGTGGGGTTTTTTTCGACACATCCACAAATCCTGCAGATTTACAAAGACATCCAGAAAACGTGTATTTCCTCAAATGTAGCTTTTTACTCAATGTAAAGATCGTTGCAAAATATAAGTAAATTAAAACTTTTCGCACACAAAAATAAAACAAAACTAAAAACCTTTGGTTTAAGTTTATTTAACTGGATTTCTGATTGGTTCTGATACACCGCTATAAATCATTGTTTCTTGTCATTGCTGTAATTAAAAACTAGCACCAAGGGATTGGGCAGAAAGTGACTCAAATCCCCTGCAATTTCTAAGGCTATGCAGCCATTCAGCAAGATCTGGACAGGCTGGAGAGCTGGGCAAAGAGGAACCTAACGAGACTCAACCACAGCAAGTGCAGAGTCCTGCACCTGGGAAGGAACAACAAAATGCACTAGTACAGGCTAGGAGGTGATCTGCTAGAGAGCAGGTCCGTGGATAAGGACCTTGGAGTCCTAGTAGACAACAAGTGGGATAACAATGTGCCCCGGTGGCCAAGAAGGCCAATGGTATCTTGGGATGAATCAGGAGGAGTGTGTCCAGCAGATCAAGGGAGGTTCTCCTCCCCCTCTGCGCAGCCCTGGTGAGACCTCACTTGGAATACTGTGTCCAGTTCTAGGCTCCCCAGTTCAAGAAGGACAGAGGTCTACTTGAGAGAGTCCAAGAGAGGCTACGAGGATGATGAAGGGACTGGAACACGTACCTGATGAGGAAAGGCTGAGAGATCTGGGGCTTTTAGTCTAGAAAGGAGAAGGCTGAGGGGAGATCCAGTTAATGTCTATATACATCAAGAAGAAGAACCTCTTGTCACTTGTGCCCTGTGATAGGACGAGGGGCAATGGACTCAAACTGGAGCACAGGAAGTTTCACCTCAACATGAGGAAGAACTTCTTTCCTGTGAGGGTGACAGAGCCCTGGGACAGGCTGCCCAGAGAGATGGTGGAGTCTCCTTCTCTGGAAACTTTCAAGACCTGTCTGGATGTATTTCTGAGTGACCTGCCCTAGTTTTGGTCCTACTCTGGCAGGGGGATTGCACTCAAGGGTCTTCAGAGGTCACTTCCAACCCTGACCATTTTGATTCTAAGGGAGATTTATTGCATAGTTCTTCTGCTCTGTGATTCTGAAAACTTCTTTAAGCAGTTTGTGTGGGCCAGTGCTGATATAAGTATGCTGAAATACTCAAACCAGTCACAGAAGTTGACACAAGAGTTCTTATCTTCCCCTTGCATTCATAAATATCTAAACTTTGATTTATTTTCTGAAAGACCTCTGACTCATTCATGGTCTAGGCTGATTTTACACGTTACTGATACTCTGGAGACAAGTACAGAGATGGACAGCGGTGAATGGCTTCAACTTCCATGACCAAACAGGGACATTTCACACCAAGACTTTGCCATTACTTGAAATAACCAGTCAATTTAGTTTGTGACCTGGTTTATAAGCTCACCCAGGATGATTTTAAATATGGTTTTCTTACGAGCACCTCACAAAGTGATTTTTTTTCCACTCTCCGTGTAATTATTAGAGAAAATCAGAGATGATTTGTAACGGCAAAACAAGCACTGAATTGTAACATGTAACTCCAGGGTCTAGAGTGGTCCTGCGAACAAATTGACAGGTAGCTCCTCACAGTCTTACACCCTCTTCACCTCTCTCACCAATTAAATGAGGCTAGTATTTACCTACTTCAGCAGAAGATGACCATAATAATGCATGTTCACATTCCCCATTTTTTATCACTTTGGATTTGCTTTCACCATAGTGACAAGCCTTACAAAGCACATTGCAGTCAGAGGAGTATCATACTTGGAAGAAAAATGTTAGGAACTGAAAAAAAAGAACTGCTGAAGAATACAGACAAGTTCTAGAATAGAAAGGGGATCACAGAATTGTAATATCACTGAGAAAGATGGAAAATTTAATGTAATGGGGAATATGTAATGTGTTTGCTTGTGTGAGGTACCAGGCTGCCTTTGGATGTGCAGGGGATTTATTCAGATGGTATAGGCATCCAGGTGGCAATGAGGACAAAACTCTGAACATTGTTTCCCTGCAAGTTTTCTCCTCTTTGACTGCCAAGGTTTACCCACCTAATGGTATCAGGAGAGGCAGGAAAAAAAGGGAAGTAAAGATGTGTCTTCCAACTGGTAGACAAAAGGCCTGTGCAAGAGAATGATTTCTGAACTGCAACAGAGTACAACAGAGTGAACAAAATGACTGACAATATTCTGAACTCTGGAGATATCCAGGACACTGGGTAAAAAAGGCTCATCCCAGGCCCATTTTAACTAATAACTCCATTTCAGTGAAGTAATTTAAGAGTCATTTTGTTATATGAAAAACCTTACCACTAACATTTTTTTAACTGTACACAACCAAACAGCAATTTCTCTTCTCATTTCAAAACTCTCAGTTTACAAAATAACAAACAAGTGATTTCATAAATAACCACATTCAAGACCTGCAACACAAGAGTGCACTGTACAAAATGCATCTCCCAGGTGATAAAGGTTATTAAAGGAACCCATTTGGAAACTCAAGTTTATGAACAACAGAAAGGCAAAACTGGAAGTACCAATTTTACGTAAGGTAAAGTAAAAAAGTCAATGGCTGCTGAGTGGGCAAACTCTTTGTTCTGTTTACAGCAATGCTTACTTTATCAGTAATTTGTCTGCTACAATGAAGCACCCTAAAAGTACAAATGCCACAAGTAAAAAGGGATCTGCAATGGACAGAAAATATTACTAATTTCAGATCACTTTTAAAGACATGGTTAGGACAAACCAATACCTGCTACACCTTGAAACAGTTTTCGTGATCACACTCCTTAAAACTACCCCTTGAATGAGATTTCACTGTAAAATTCTAAAAGCAGGACTCCTTCAGAATTTTATTTATGTACAAAGTTAAGGTATTTCTAACAGAACAGCAACTTCTAAACCCTTCTGTATTCTGAAAGTATATTGTCAAGACTGAACCCTCAAATCCCATTATTTTTTCTTGAAATGAAAGAGAACACTCATTCTGCAAGTCCAGCAGACACAGCAACGACTGTAGGGCTGAGGCCTATGGTGTCCCGGAAGAGTGGTTTCAGGTCTGAAATTCAGGACATAAGAGCACTGTTTGGAGATGAACTATATCCCTAAAGTGAATCAACACAATTATAATGCTGTAACTTCTGGAAAGAATTCTCATTTCACTTTCAATTTTTAAACTTAACTGTAATTTCTTACTAGTAACAATTAAAGGATTCATTGAAAAGGGGAAAAAAAAAATCCTACCAAACAAAGAATGGAAAATGTCAAACTGCAGCTCTAAAAAAGCAAAAAATGCCTCTAGTCTCTGGATGACCAGTTCAACAATCAAGCTGCTCAACAACCCAGTTCTAAGACTTTTAGGAATAAATTCTTACTTACCCAGCCTGAATGAGCTCATTGAGTTTAGCTGCATTCTTATCATCCATACCTTTACATGAAATGGGATAACAGTGAATTAGAATTCAAAGTTAAGAAGTCATGACCTTTTTTGTGTCCTGTTAGTTTTTCAAAGCTCTTACATTTTATTCCCACATAGGATTAATGTGCATAAATGTCCTATAATACCCTTTCTGAAAAGTTTCTATTTTCATAACGTGCAAGCTTTACACAATCCTTGTCAAGAAAATTACATTTTATTCATGGATTAAACGACACCAGTTTAGGTGTTACAGTTACATTGGGTTCCTGGGTGTTAATCTGACCCCGTGGTATTAAAAAGACAAGTTTCCTCATCTTCCTGCTCAATCTCTGTTGCTGAGGCAGCACAGCATAAAGAAAGAGCCTCAAGCACTCATAGGGCTGAATGTCACAAAAAAAATGTAGGTAAAAATAATAAAATGCACATATAACTCAGACTTTTATTCTATTCATTATACACCACATTTTAAAATTCAAATGATATTAACTTGATTTATATTTCCTATGATAGTTAGGCCCAGATCTAGTTGCTGAAAAATTAAGCCTCCCTCTAACAATGCTGAAAGTATTCCTGATGGGCTTCTGTGTCTCCACAACTCTAGGTAAGTCATTTTCACCTCTGGGAACATAGGACTGGGTGAATATCAAAAGACAAGGGCAAAAAAATTAAAAAGATAGTGAAAGTAACAACTTTCACCAGCTGCAGAGCAGACCTCTTATAAACTGGGTGTAAAGGTTTGCAGCTAAAGTCTCTGGTTTTGAAGACTAGAATTTTCCAAGTGACAGTGAGTAAAATATGTAACCAGGTACCAAGGTTATAAAAAGACAGAAGCACAAGAGGATATACACATTGCCATGGTGACTGTGTGGAACTTTATTCCCAGTCATAGCAAGGAGAGTCTGTTGACACTTTTAAGACAAAATGTGGATATAGAGAAAAACACTAATACTGATTTCTACTGACAAATGCAATCTGCCCTGCTTTTGCATCTTCATTGTCATGAAACAGTTAAAAATTGCTTCTCCAGGATGAATTAAGACACTGAACATCTTTGAACAAATAGAATAAAGTCATTATGAGCATTCACAACAGTCCTGTTCAGGACACATTACAGTATCAATCCCAGCTGAGGAAATAATACATCAAATCAAGAATCTGCCAAAATAACACAATTCTGTTAGGAATTGTACATGTTCAGCCTGGAGAAGAGAAGGTTCCAGGGAGACCTTACAGCACCTTCCAGTGCCTGAAGGGGCTACAGGAAAGCTGGTGAAGGGCTTTGGACTAGGGGCAATAGATTAAAAATGGAAGAGGGGAGATTTAAGTTAGACATTAGGAGGAAATTATTTGCTGTGAGGGTGGCGAGACACTGGCCCAGGTTGCCCAGAGAGGCAGGTGGTAGAAGCTCCACCCTGGAAACATTCAACACCAGGTTGGATGGGACTCTGAGCAACCTCATCTGGTTTAAAATGTCCCTGTTCACTGCAGAGGCTTGGGCCAGAAGACCTTTAAAAGCCCCTTCCAATCCAAACGGTTCAGTGATTCTACGAACATGATACTAAGATCAGAGATCTTGTTAATGCAACTAATGAACTTCCAGAAAAGGGAGGAGCATTGGTATGGCAGGTACTCATCTGCCTATGCTCATCCTTAAGGATAAAACAAGCCTCTAGGATTGACAAGGTCCAAATGCATCTTGGTTAGTCAGTAAAGTTATTTCTGATGATTTGTAATGCAGTCAGTAAAGATCTAGGGACTGACTTACAGAAAGGAACCATCCGATATTTTGATTGCATAGGCAGAAACAAATGGGGGTGCAATTTATATAATTTACACACTTAATTGCTTAGTTTTCAAGAATAATAAATTAGACAGCTAAACTAAGTTGTCTGTACATTGACCTGTTACGTGTAGGTGTTAAACGCACTGCATTCCACAGGTAGCAAAAGCTAAAACAATCTGTCCAAGAAAAAAGGGACTAATGCAACAAACTCAAGAGGTTTTTAAGAATAAAAATACATATAATGAAAAAATAATACCACAGATTGCTGTAACAAACCACAATGAAAAAAATTCTGAATAACTCCAAAGTGAAACTCTACTAGACGCTGCAAACTTCAAGTGCAGATACTTCTGGTTTTAGCATATAAAAATAATTTTAAGTCATTCATACTCACATCCCCCAATTTTTTTCCTTAGCTCCCCATAGCAGATTAAGCCATAAAGCTCCAGGGAGGATTTTTTCAGCCCTTGAGAAAACACTGAAAAGCAGAAAAGGTGTAAGTGAGATGCAAATTGCAGATACTGATACACAGCTACATTGCAGATACTCATTTCAGCACTGAAAATGAGATTATTTGTATTTTCAATTATAAGACAAACATTTTATCCAAGGAAGACCAGGTTCTGTTTCAAGAAAAACCTTTGGGAGACAGGTCCACCAGATTCTTTTTGGTGACTTAAATAAATGGAAAAGGTTTTTTAGATAACATAAGAAACAACACAGCTTCCACAGAACTTAAAACACATATGCAAGAGTTTGATACGCAAAATAAAGATAATTCATAACGAAGTTAACTCTAGCATGCCCCCAAGAATATGTATCTAGAACTTGTCTTACAGGGTAATTAGGAAATAGGTCTGAATTTTCCAAAAGACAAATAATGTCTTCTGTGCACACAAATGCACCTTGGAGATTTAATGCAAACTCTAGATTCCAAATTTTTATATGAAGAATTGCAGACATTTTATTCAACTTTAAAAGGGTTTTTCCTCTGTTCTCATCAACACATACACTGTGGACATTATTATTGCTAATAGATACACGTATGACATCAAGGAAACACATTCTGGTGGTTTACAAATCAGATTAAATTATTTATTCTCATCTATTAATAAGAGATTCAGTTCCTGCAGACTCATTTAATATAAAAATCTAGGCACACATATTTCCACCAGTACTAAAGCTAATCAAACTACAGTACAAATTCTTAAATTACCACAGCCAGTACAGATACAGAACTTTTAAGTTATCCAGAGAACATATGAAGTTCCCCCATGACTTTACTTTAAAACAACTCATCCATACTGTGTTGCCTGTAACACTTTTTTTTTTTTTTAAAAATGGCTTACTTCAATCTTTAAATGCTGCATTGCTTCGGAAAAGGAACTACAAAATACACATCTAAAACTCCTGTCATAAGGTGCAAGTCCTACTTTAGATAACCTAACCTCAGGAACACACACAACAATTTCGTGAAGAGACTATATTGCACGCTATCTTTGCATGCCTTCCTCTTTTTTGTAGTCATACCCATTTCTCATTAGCTACTTACTTTCAACTTGGGAGGCTCTGGCCACAAATCATGTAAATGAATTGACTATCCAAACTTTTGCTGATGTTAAACACAGCTGTTTCAAGACAAAAAAACTCAACAACCATGAAGCTCCCATGATTTATGCAACTTAGAAGACAGCATCAGAAGGATAGGAAAGCCCTAGAGACTTCACCAACAAGCTAACAGGAGAACTGACCCTTCATACCTTAAAAAAAAGTCAAAAGAACTGGGTCTTAGTAAAACATGTTGACTCTGAAATAAACTTCTTTAACCCACTGTTCAGAACAGACTACCTGCAAATGGACTTGAATTCTCCCTCCCTGTAACTGAATACTATGCATTTGATAAAAAACAGTTATTATTATTACAAGCCACCACTGGCAGTTCTTATGGCTTCCCAATCTCCTTTTCATTAAACAAGATGGGAAGGAGGGGAAAGAATAGGAAGAAAGCAACATGGCACTGGGAATCCTGAGTTACTGACCCAGTGATACAATTTCAGGCTAACTCAAAGTGTGAGCAAATACTTTATAGAATGAGAGTGGTTTGGGTTGGAAAGGACCTTTAAACGTCATGTAGTCCAACCCCCTGCAGTGGACATCTTCAACTATATCAGGTTGCTCAGAGCCCCATCCAACCCAGCCTTGAATGTTTCCAGGGATGAAGCATCCATCACCTCTCTGGGCATTCTGGGCCAGTGTTTCACCACCCTCATTCTTCCTTGTATCTAATCTAAATCTTCCCTCCTTCAGTTTAAAACCACCACCCCTTGTCCTGTCAGTACAGGCCCTGTTAAGAACCTTGCTCCCATCTTTCTCATAAGCTCCCTTTAAGTATTGAAAGGCCACTAGGCGGCCTCCCTGGAGCCTTCTCTTCTCCAGGCTGAACAATCCCAACAGTCTTAGTCTGTCTCCAGAGCAGAGCTGCTGCAGCACTTGGGTCATCTTCATGGCCTTCCCTGGACTCACTCCAACATCTCCATGTCCTTCCTGTGTTGGGGTACCCCAGAACTGGAAGCAGCACTGAAAGGGGAGGTCTCACCAGAGTTGAGTAAAGAGGGACAATCCATTCCCTCGACCTGCTGGTCACACTGCTGGTGATGCAGCCCAGGACATGATTGCTATTCTGGGCCAACAGTGCACATTGCTGGCTTATGCCCAACTTTTCATCCACCAGCACCCCCACACCCTTGTCCTCAGGGCGGCTCTCATTCCCTTCATCCCCCAGCCTGAACTGATACCAGGGACTATCCTGACCCAGGTGGAGAACCTCCTTTCTACCCTTTGTAAAAATGCGTGCAATGTTTCTTTTTTTCCCACTCACCAGGGACTTCACGTGACTGCCACAACTTTCAAACACCTTGGAGAGTGGCCTGACAACCACAATTCCCTCAGGACCCTGGGATGCACTTCATCAGGTCCCATAGACTTAAATATATTCAGGTTCCACAGGTGGTCATAAACCTGATCTCTTACAATGGGAAGGACTTTGTTGCCTTGTACCTGCCTTCCAGCCCATCCACTGGAGAGGTGTGGGAAGAGAGGTTGCCACTGAACACTAAGGCGAAAAAAGTTGTTGAGTACCTCAGTCTTCTCATCCATTGCTACCAGTTCACCAGTCTTGCTCATGAGGGTGGCAATGCTTTCTTTGATCTTCCTTTTCTGGTTGACAAATCTGCGGAAGCTCTTCTTGTTACTCTTTGCATCCCTTGCCATGTTCAGCTCCATTTGTGCCTTGGTCTTCCTGCCCTCATCCCTGCCCAACCAAGCACCATCCCTATCTTCCTCCTAGGATGGTCATTGGTCTCTCTGCCAGTGCATTTCCTTCTTGCTCTTTAACTAGGCCAGCAGGCTTCAACTCAGCCATGCTCGTCTCTTGCCTTCCTTGACTGATATCTTACACCTGGGGATCAAGAACTTCTTGTACTCTTTGGAAACCATTCTTAAGAGATCTGCCAGCTCTGCTCTACTGCCTTTTACCATTTAAACTTCTATCAGACTATTTAGTTATTTCTGCCTTCCCCCCAGAAGTGCAAAGTAGCGCTGGAGGCAATTTGCTCAATGAAGTCCTGGCTTGACTAACATTTAGGTAGCTGTCCTCACAGGTGTGTTCCTGAGAAGAAAAAAACATTCCCTTGAACCTGGGTCTTCCCCAGCATTAATAGTGGTATCAGCATTTACTGTGATGTGAATTGATATAAAAGCAGCAACACCAATACCAGTTTTTGAGATGTATTTTTCAAAAAACATGAACCTTAGTATGGCCACACTAATAAGAATAGGTTGTTCCCAGACATCCTATTCAGTATTTGTTTTCTCATCTTCACTACTCCTACCCTCTGTGGTGGCATTAAAAGGCAGAACCCCAATCCTCACGAGCCTGTCAGCTCTACACTAAGCCCACTTCACTGCATACTAACCATTATCAAAGTCAATGTACTTTGAGATCTTGTGCCAGGTGCGGTAGTAGAAATGGCGAACCTGTTCCTTGTTCTTCACCATGCTTGCTGGTTTGCCTTTCTTCTTGTACTTCAGGGCAATGTTGTTCTGGATAGCTTCAAAGTCCTTCCCATGCTGAAGAATAAACAAAACAAATCCAAATACTCAAACATGTATCTTGCCATAAGACAACTCAAACAACAATAACAACCTTCCAGTACCTGAAAGGGGCCTGTAAGAAGGCTGAGGGAGGGCTTCTCACAAGAGCATGTAACAACAGGACAAGGATTTTAAGCTAGAAAAAGGTAGATTGAAATTGGGTATTAGGAAACAGCTATTTAATATGAAGGTGATGGATTGCTGGAACAGGTTGCCTAGAGAGGTGGTGGAGGCCCCATCCCTGGAGACATTCAAAGTCAGGTTTAATGGAGCTTTAAGCAACCTTGTCTAGTGGGTGATGTCCCCGCTTACTGTAGGGGGGGCTGGACCTTTAGAGGTCCCCTTCCAACCCAAGACATTCTGTGATTCTATGACTTTGGGGCTCCTTGTAGGAAATCAGATTTCAGTGGTCAGAAACAAAATTCTTGGGTATCAGAACTCAAAAACAAAAGAATGACCCTGGATCCCTTTTTTTATATAAAATTTTATAGATGCCAAATAAATTTCTTTCCAATTTCTTGAACTGTTTCATAAGAAATCTGTAAGTTGCTAGCAAACTTCTAAAAAAACCTTTACTCATGTGTTAAATAGCAGAATTTAAAATACTGACTTTTTCGTTTAGTTTACTTTCCTCTGCATTTGTCCCCCTCTCTCCTACCTTCACTACTTACTAGGGTGAATGAAAAGCACATTATATTTAACAGCTTCACTTTCATATACAGTAAATTCCACATTCCAGTTATTAGGAGTACAAAATTTAAGCTTCAAATAATGAAGGAAAATATTACATTTAAAAAAAAAAAAAAACGAATTAAACTTTCTTACAGAAAACACATTTGTACCCTGTAGGTCATTTAAGTAGTTTATTCTCAGGGTAAAAATAAAAACGAGACACCTGGGTCTCCCCTTCAAACTAGCCAATTCCTGTAAAATCTTTGGGAGTTCAAAAGAGAAGAATTTTATTTTATATACGTTACAATTGAATTCCTGCTACCACAAGACTTCTTAGCATTCAAAAAAGGTTGGAACTGATTTAAAGACAAAGTGTGAAAACCTCTTTTGAAAGGTAGCATCCCAGCATGAATGGAAGTGGGGGAACAGAGTCCCAAATCCACCTTACAGCAAACTTTTTAATTTCTTCCTCCGTATTCAAGAAATTCCAAAAAATTTTATTTGGGTGATTAGGGGACTTAAAAATCACATAATACCCAGGAATACTGTTGTAAGTCAAAAGAAGGCAGTGTTAAGTGCTCATTCTGTCCATGAAATATGAATGAAAACACACCTATCTCTACACAAGTATTTCTAAATAGATGTACACATGTAAAGAAAACACCGCACCACTTACTCTCTTTTCACCTTTAGTATGTACTTCCATAATGGAAGTGCTCTTAAAATAACTATGGGAACAGGACAACCAGAAATTCATTGTATACACTGGATGAGATAGAAGATAAAATTGTCTAAACGTTCTTTGTCTCTCAGTCCTGGAACTGAACTGGCTCAAACCTTGTCATGCCCAAAGACTACACAAAGTGCCTACAACTCTTCTTAGAATACAACACCTTTTTTTGCTTGCTCATATTACAGCGTTTTTTGCTTTTGAAAGGCAAGATGGGGACATGACTTCTATATTTCACATTAGAAACAGAATCATTAGTGAGAAATACTCTAAATTATTATAAACACTGACTAAAATAACTCATCAGTATTTCCTATGTATTTCAAAGAAAAGCTTGACATTTTTGAAATGCAGCTGTGATTGACAGCTGGTTTATAGAACTGCAGACACATTTGCAAAGACAAACAAAAGCATTTCTGCACATACACACTTTGTCTACATATGCATTTTGTTCCTGCAAATCTCAAATGAATCAACCCTGCTTTAGGAACATCCAGATACTAAAGGAAGCCATCCAAGCTTGGAATTTTCTTCTACATGTACCTCATACAATCCCTCGAAGAAAGTGTTCTTGTCTTCTGTGCTCCACGACTCCCACTGCCGTCTGACCTTCTTCCCTTCTTCCTTCTCTCCAGCTGAGGAGCTCAAGTTCCTTGCTGCCGACTTGGAACTCCCAGCAGGATTGTTGGCAGGAATTCCTGATGTACCACCAGATGCAGTCCCACCATTATCTGATGCTGAAAAAAAAACATGACCAGAGTGAATATTAAACCAACAGGCAGATTCCAGGATAGAGGAGATTAAGGAACTCAGAAATTCCTCCTTCTTCAGCACTCCCATCTATAGCAGATTTTTTCCAATATTCTTTCACCTGAAATAAAATATGCAAATAACAAGGGGGTTTTAAGAAATAAAATTTCAAAGAGCAAAAAACAAGGGGAAGGTCTCAATGGCTTGATTTTGTATTTCCAGGGATTAGACACATTAGCAGGAATATGCCAAAGCAACCTCTAAAAGACAATACAGCCTCTGATGCTGCTACACTGGTGTGCTCTGCAACTGCCCCTTTGTAGCTGAAGGGAACTCCTGAGCAATGCTGAACATGGATGTGACCAATAAAGCAAATGAATGACCATGAGAAAAACACAGAATCACAGAAGGGTCAGGGTTAGAAGGGACCTCTGGAGATCACAGAGTCCAACTCTCCTGCCAGAGTAGGGCTATCACAGAATCTAGAGCAGATCACTCAGAAAGGCATCCAGATGGGTCTTGAAGGTTTCCAGGGAAGGAGATTCCACAATCTATCTGGGCAGCCTGTACTAGAGCTCTGTCACCCTCACAGTAAAGAAATTTCTCTCATGTTGAGGTGGAACTTCCTGTGTCCTAGTTTGCGTCCACGGCCCCATATCTTATCACAGGGCAGGTAATTTCATATCCTTGTCTTTGGTCTTGATCCTACTGCCTCCAAAATAATGGTGGTAACAAAATGACTGAAAGATGTCTACTTGAGTTCCTCACAGGACAATAGTTCAGTGTTCTCAAGTATCTGACCTGCAGCACCATCTCCAACACCCAGCTCATCTAGAATTCAATGTATCCTAAGGATGCTAAGTCCAAGACAACTTCTCAAATCAACAGCTTCTCTATTTCCTAAAGCCTTCATCAGGCATGGACAAAATAATTGAAAGTTAAGTAACTGTATTCTGGTATTGTAAGAGTAAACCCTTTAAAAAATGAAACCATTAGAAAAACCTGAGCAATTTAATTGATGGCTGAGAAGCAACAGTAATTTTAAGACATAGAATTGCTTCTTTACAACTGTGAGATTGGGATACCAAAATTTGCATGGTAAAGAAATACAGATATTAATATTCAATATTTGGTCAAGAAAGGGGTGTTCAGTCCTCAATTTCAATCTACAAAGCCCCGTTGCTACTAGCTCCCAATGGAAAAGATGTTTCTTATCAAAACATAGGTACAGGATTCTATTCCAGAGTTACTATTCTGACCACAGACCTCTAAAGTTCTGAAGAACCATTTAGAAGAACCACGGACGCAAGGCTTTGTTTACTTGTTGGGTTTGGTTTTTGATGTTCACTGTACAACACTGTACTGTTCACTGTACACTGTTTACTCAAATAAGTGAAAACCTAAAGCCAGTTGCCTTAAGCTCAGATCCTTTCAAGGATTTTCTGAAGATTGTACAGTACACTTGGTACATATGAAGCTCTCATGTTTAATAAAAGCGCAAGAAGTAAAAATATCAGAGGACTTTAGGTTCTAGTAAGACTATGAAGCTCAGTATCAGTTCTATTGAGGATGTGCTAGGGACTCAACTGATACAACTCCTACTAAGGGTACACAGCTCAGAAGTGCTCTTCTGTTCCTTTATATGTGTTCACTATTCTACAAGACAAACTGTAGTCCTGGGAATTTAATAACAGCCTTTCTTGTTTGACACACAAATAAATTACTAACCAGAAAATTCTTTAGAGTATCATAGATGAAGATCTAAAAATTCTAATACCCTGTCACCTCTACCAAGATCCTCCCATTTCATTCTTTGGGGAATAAAAGAGTTTGCTCTATCATTATCATCCCTTTGCATTAATTTTCTCACTGCTGTGAACAGCAATATTTATCACTGGGTTATCACAATCCACTCTAGAGTTTACTGGATGGAATGGAAGGCAATGAAATACAGTGTATTCTAAAACATGGTATTATAAACATATTCAGGATAAAAGGCAAAAGTAAAAATAGTCATACATCATTAAGTCACACCCCATAAATTCATTTTTTTTTAATCTGACTGTATGAGATTCTTGTAACATGCAAAACAGCTAGCAAATTCTCCTCCCCTCACTACTGATAAATGATGATGATCATTCATTTCCAACAACAGATTATTTAAAACTTAAGCAATACATTACACCAAAAAGGTCCATTGAGGCCAGCCATACCATTACTGCAGGAGAGAGAAAGGGGGCTTCCTCTAACAGTCTGCTTAGGTACTTGTTCTAGGTAAAATCATGTAAAAAAGGTGATGACTCCAGATGAGACAAAGACTAGATGATCACTCTCACTCTGCTTATCCTGCATCAACCGATCACAGGACTGGACATCCACACAGTTAACAGCTACAATTCCTTCCCTACAGCCCAGGACACAGCAGAGCACCAGCACCTGCATCCGAGGTACAGAGCAGCAAGTGTGGTCGTTTAAGTTCTCAGCATTCTCACTCAGCTTTTAACCCACAGCTCACAAAGACATCAGGTTTCTGCACCTGGTTTTTGAACTACAACGACCAACAAAATCACAGGTCAGAACCACCATCATCTCAGAAACTTGTTTTATCCTGTGTTCCCTATCCATCTATATGCCTATAACTAGAACTCCATGAATCTGTGACTGGCACAACAACAATTCAAACTACATTTTCTGTAGAAAAAGCTGTCTTCTTTGTAGTTCTAAGCAAAACACAAACATTTGCAAAAATGCACATAAACAGATTTAAAGACTGGTATGAAAGCCACAAGCAATGGAACATTGCATCTATCACATAAAAGAGTCCCTGATAGTACAGGTGTTTGCTCCAGAACATTCCTTTCTTCTCTCTTGCACAAGGTCATCTTCAAAAGTGGTTTCAATAAAGATTGCCATTACAGAGACCATACCAGAAAACAGAATCACCCTGGTTGGAAAAAACCTTCAAGCTCATCCACTCCAACCATTAACCCAACACTGACAAGTCTTTAACTAAACCTTATCCCTAAATACTATGTCTATATGACTCTTAAATACCTCCAGGGAGGGTGACTCCACCACTGCCCTGGGCAGCCTGTTCCAAAGCCTGATAACCCTTTCAGTGAAGCAATTCACCAAAAAACACCGCAGAGTGACTATTTTACTCTCACAAACCCGCATTAGTGCTCAGCAGTCTCATGAATTGTACATCAGAACATCTGCTGCCAACAGAGCTGGGTATGGGGCTGTGATACTGTCCTGGTTTGAGCCAGGATGAAGCATTAACAGCCTTAGCTGGAAGGCTCTGTGACTAGTTAAAAGAAAACTTACTGAAGGAAAAAAAAAAATAATCAGTAAAAGGAAAATTGGCTTCATCCTGGCTCAAATCAGGACAGATACATATTTTCCAGACAGCTTCAAACACATTTGTGTGTTCCCATAGCAGAGCATTCCTCAATGAGTGTTTACTCCCCAATTTTAATGAAAAAGCAACTGAAGAAAACCATCCAAACTTCATTTCTGATTGCTTGGTAAACGACCCTCATTTCTAGTCACATATCATAGAATCTCACACTAGGATCTTAAAGATCACCTAGTCCCAACCCCCTGCCATGGGCAGGGACACCTCTCACTAGCCCAGGTAGCTCCAAGCCCCATCCAACCTAGCTTTGAATACTTCCAGGGATGGAGCACATCTTTCTAAAGGTAGACACTACATCATATACTGCAGTGAAGAAATGAACCAAGTGATCTTATAGAAGTTATCTTACAGTGTGTGCTTTAAGATTTAAGTGACACCATTTGTTGGGACCACCCAGCAAAGCTGCAGGCTGGATCCATTTGCTTTCATCCCCAGGAATTGTAGCTGAGAAGAGAACACAGATCAGTGAGGGACAGAGACAGACACATTCCCTGCAAGTCAATGCTTCACTTTGAGTACTAACATTTATAACTGGAAAAAAAGTTTCTACCTTGGATGTCTCCACAGTAAACAGCAGGGACTCCAAAGAAGGGTCAGTCTAGGCCAGATTGTGCCATATTGCATGGTTACACCTTACAGCATCTGAAGTTTTAAACTAAACAGGTTATAGACTAGTCCAGCTTCTTCTATCTCTTGTTATGTAGAAAATTTACATGACAAAGATGTAGCTGAATGTGTTTAAACATATACAGTTTCAATCAACAGGAGTCTACAAACAAAACTCTACTGAAGGCTTGCTTTTCTACAGAGAGTATATATTTAATAATCTATCAAATGCAGCATTATCTGAGCTAACCAAACAGCTGTAAGAAAGTTAAGATGCTTTATTCTAAATTTAGTTACACCCCCACCTCCAATAAACAATTATTATCTTGCTCTTCCATTAGAAAACTCCCATAAAGCTGAATACGAAGTTCCATCTTAAACAGGTGGCTGTGCAGCCTTGCAGGCAGGCTTTTTTTGAAGTTTAGTACCTTCTGCACAGGGCACATGAAATAAATCCTCCTCTTGTGGGATGAGATACTGTGGAGTTCTGGTCCTGAGCCACTTCCAAAGGAAGGGAGAGAGAACTAGAGCAAATGGAAGGGTGAAGAATTGCTGAATGCATGCCAAGGTAGGATGGAAGGAGAAGTACCAAGTGTAAATTAGCTGGACATAATTAAAGAGAGTATCAGGACACGGGATCATGCCAGTAGTTTTTGAACAGTCAGTCATGCCCTAAAGAAATGGAGGAATGATATTTCAAATTAGGGTTATAAATACATTCTGCAGCATGCAAACTTGGGGAGAACCAAATATATAGATACTGTCCGTGGGAGAAATTAGTAGTTAATTCAATCCATGTGCTATGGGAGATGCAACTTCAGTGTGCTGAAACTAACTGGACATCTTTCTAGCAAGTTTTACACAATGCCAGAAGATGAAACATTTTAATTCAATTAATGTTTTCAGCTGAACAGTTCTTTTTTCAAGAAAGAACTACTTATTACTGCAAAACAAATCCAAATACTAGTTTGGGTCACTCTACATGTTTTATGAATAAATATAGACCAATGGCATGAAAGACTCCTTCAAGCTTCAGCTCATCATCATTAGACTTTGTTACTATTTCCTCCTGAATTTGCATTCAGCAAAGGGGTAAAAACATGAAAATGGGAGCACTCTGCTCTAGTTCCAACTAAATCTATAGCACATGAGGGCAACATATTCTGCATTTGCTTTTACCTGTATGGTCACAAACTACACATACATATTCTAACCACTCTCACTACATGCAAAAAAGCCCCAAAACACAACTTAAACCCTATGCTCAGCAACCACGTGGCATATTTGTATTTGAGAAGTAAACTCTCAGAAATCCCTCTTTTTCAGCAATGTTCTATTGGCTTGCTTTCTCTCTCTCAATGAACCTCTCTGCCTTTGAACTCTCAGAATAAACTGCCTCCACCCCACTATTCCTCCAAGCTTCTCCTCTGATTTCAGGCAAGTTACTTTAAGGCTTACTTTCAAGCATTCATACTTCAAAAGGCATTAGTTGAGGTGTAGACTGTGAACTTGAAAATATAGTAAAAACATGTGAGGAGGAACATGTGAAAATAAGCTAAGAATGGGGGGGAGGGGGGTACAGATTTAGATATTTGTACAGGAAATTTCATAAACCTCTCAGCAATTCAAACTGGAATGGCTGTTTGAAGTGGAATAGTTTTTAAACTTTATTTTATTATGCTACTTTCTATGTCATTTTGCCCTAAACTCAGAAGTGCAACTCAGTACACAAAAGGGAAGAAAGAGAATCCAAAGATACAATTAAAGATCACATCAGGGTAATCTAAAAATAAGTACTATGTTTATACACTCTACTAGGAAATATTTGAGAATTGTTATTAAGAATCTTCCCTGAACCATAGCAAGGCAAAGATGAAAATTCAGTAGCTTCTGAATGGACAAACTCTTCCTACAGTTTACAGTAAAGTTTACTTGATGAATAATTTAGCTGCTACAATGAAACACCCTAAAAGTACAAATGTCAAAAGGGATCTCCAACAGACAGGAAAAAAAAACTATTTTCAAAACTCTTTTAAAGACATGATCTGGACAAGCCAATGCTGGGTGAGTAACAATTTGAAAGAAGTGAAGTTTTTTGATTATACTCCTTAATAACAGCCTCTGAAAGAGTTTCCACTTTAGAATACTCAGGTTCTAAAAGCAGGACTACTTTAAAGGCATTTTAAGGGTTACACAGCATTATTGAAAGACAAAAACAAGCTTCTGGTTTCCCTGGACCAGATAAGTGGTCTAGACACTCTTGCTGGCCAATGGTAAAATCACCCTTCCAGCCAGGACCCTTGACATGCAAAAGGGAAAAGCTTCCACTTTTCAGAGCTGATCCACAGCACCTGCATTGGAGCTTTTTAATATTTTTAGACTTACAGACAGAGGAGAAAGTTAGTGCGAAAGCAAGTGCAAGGATTTAAGTATCTTTATTAGTATCTTCACCCTTCCATTAGATCCCCTATTGGAAGCTAGCTCTGTGAGACACTTTACCCAGAATGCAAAGCCCTATAAATTCTGATCACAAGACATTCCATCAGGGAGAATTCAGACATGCCAGGAAAACCTCTCAGTATGCATCCCTGAACATAAAGAAATTTAAATTTAAATTAGAAAGGATCTCACTCTGTGGCTCAGTTCTCCCAAGATCTGACAGTTATAAACTCAACCATATCAGAGCAATCCATTTTAGTGCATTCACATCAAAACTAGACAGGCAGAGCTGTGGCTGGTCTTACAGTGCACAAAGCCAAAGCAGAACCACAACTCTAACATCGACTGTCACCCCAATGATTTAAGAAGTTTCCCCAAACCTGATGACATAAGTCAGGTACAGTGGTTACAATCACCACCTATGACCAATTACTTTTGTTCTGCATATGATTTTATTAGGGTTATTCTGGAATCTAAGTTGCATTTCAACTGTGTCAACAGACCTGGCTGAAAATTGTTCCGCTGTTCTAAAACTGGAAATAAATCTTTATGTACAAATATGCAAACATGAATATACACGTGAATAAAGATAGATGTATTTTGTTCAGATGTTTACCCTTTCAAAGCAATGGAATAATTTAAAGTGCATTTATTTGACTTGTCAAACATGGGCAACATGTATTCCATAGAAACATCTCCTTGCATTTCATAGTATTTAGAACCTGTGAAATCATCATCTGTAGCTAAACACCCCTGGGTATTCCATCTGTTTATTTGGTTTAATGCAAGTGGGAAAAAATTACTTAGACCTTTCTGTTCTATCCTCCAACATCACACACAGGATTTCTTAACTTGAAAAGTTGAAGAGATTACAGAGGACCTACTAAGGTATTAAAAAATACTTTAGTCAATTATACAAACTGTCAAGCAACTGAGTTCAAGAATTTTTTTGTGATATGGCAATAATGTGATAAATATCACAATCTGCACTGCTTCATTACTGTAATGAAAAACTACCATAACTTGCTATATTTGATATCTGGTGTGTGTTGTCATGGACCAAAGAGTGAGGTAATCTCCAAGACGCATTTATGCTACTTGGAATGTTATTTAATTTTAGCAGAGCAAACTTTGTTACTCCAAATGCTGAAGAAATCTCCAAGCATCGCTCTTTCGCAAAAATCAGCAGTACTTTTGCACAAGGTATCCAAAGTTAGTCTCAAGTACAGCTGAACTACAGCACCATCCAGTAACAACTGCTGAGCAGGCACAACAGCACCAAGATATTCAGACATCCTTGCTGTCTTCTAGTTACTCAAGTAAGAAAACACTTTGAAACAAATAAAACTATTATATACAGTGTTAAACTGAAAAAACGTGTATTGCATGTACAGACATTCAGATGTATACAAAACAATCTTTATAAAAACTCAAATTACATGGAAATGCTCACACTGCTCTGAAAGAGTAATGCAGAATGCACAAAACCTTAGAAACAAACTCATCAATATTTGCACATCATAGCTGTTTACAAAACAGTTATTTGAGTAAAATGGTCAGATAAATAATTGAAGGAAATCACCAATGTCTTGTGTAATGTTTTTTTTCCTTTTTTAGCTAGCAGATAGTGAGTATTTTGTTATCATCCAAGAACATATTTCAGAGCTCAGCCACCTGATTACACAGCTAGCTAGAGTCTAATTTCCTAACCAAAATAAAGGAATTTCCTAAAACTCAAGGAAGATGAAATGCAGGAATTAAAGGTTTCTTTCAACAGTGGAGATTATTTCCTCCTCCACATACACACCCAAACCCTCCATTTTTGCAAGTGCAAAGAGGGCAGTGGGCTGCAGAGGAGCTGAAGCCTTGGGATACAAAGAAGATTCCAGCTACCAAGAGAAACAAGCCCCAAAACACCTTCCCCAAAACCAAACAAAAGATGGCACCTACAGGAGGTGAATGACAACACCCAAACCCACAGGTGCCTCCCCTCTCCACCCCTCATGCCCTCATGTTTTGAGAGTCCCAAAATCCAGTACCTTTGCCTTTTGCAGCAGTGCTGCTGCCAACTGAGGAGGATGCCTGGGAATCCTTCTTCAGCCTCTTGCTCTGAGGTCTGACGCTGGACCTGAGAAAATGATGCTGGTCATGGCTGTGGGAGGGCTGGAGGGAGGCCGGGGCCTGCGACAAGCTGGGGTTTGGTGGGGGGCTGCTATTAGTGTTGTTGTTAATAATCTTCTCTTCTTTCTTTGTGTTGCTGCTGCCCGGAGTTGCCTCTCCTCCTCCTCCTGCCCCTTCTTCCAGGGACTCCTCATCTCCTGCTCTCTTGCCCAGCTTTTTCACCCCTTCCTCCCCACTGCTCTCTCCCAGTTTCACTGTCATCCTGTTGAGGAGGAGAGAGAGAAAAGAGGGGAACACAAAGTCAGGCCAAAGAGACCCCCAGAGAGGGAGAGAAATCCCTGGGCTGAGAGGGGAGAAGTTTAGCTGCAGAAATTCCTCTCAACATGGCCGCCGTTGTTTGTTACTAAATCCCCGTGCGTTTGCTGTCCCGCCCCAACAACCTGTGCCGAGGGCGCGAGAAGGAAAGCCCCGCCGGAACCCCCCCAAACCGGCCCAAAAGGCAGCCGGGCTCCCCCGGCAGCCCTCCGACAGCCTCCCGAAGGGGTCCAGGGCGCCTTTGGCGAAGAAATCGCCCAGCCAAA